TAAAAATCAGAGTAGAGAAGGAGAGAAAGAAAATGCTCATTTTTAGAGTTCATGTCATGTAAAGAGCTTAGAAATAATTCTGAAAATATTTATTTTAGTGTTTATTTTTTTGGCTTTTGCATTATTTTGCACAAAGTGACATTCCTGCTAGATAAATTGCACTTGCATCTGAAGTTCTCAGTAAAATTTACTATACACAAGTTCCACTTTACAGATGTTAGGAAAATTAAGAGAATTTGCTTTATGCCATAGAACATCTGAATAATGGAGAGACAATGAGAAGTCAGGTCCTCTGATTATCTTTAATTGTCCAGGATGGATATGATATAAATCAAGAAATTAGGTAAATGTCTATGATGTTGCCTCCTACTTCTTAAAAATTTCTTGTTTTTTTCCCCCCAATGCTCCATTTTCCCCCCATCCTTTGAATGACTCATTTTCTTCCCAAGTCTACCTGACCTTGAATATTTATCAAGTGGAATAGAATTCAGTTAACTGCACTTTCTTTTATATTGTCTGTTTGATATAGTGTTTTGCAACTTAGTCCTAAAAACGCCAGACACAGGTTGCTAAAATAGAGTTCTAGTAAAATTAAACTAGAGATCAAACTAGAAATAGCTCACATTTATTTGGATTTCACCAAGGGAACATTAGCTCTTTATAAACTTTGAAAGATGATGTTCTCATGATCTTTATATAATAGGTTTACCAAAGCACTCTGTCTTGTTTAAGTTCCAGTGATCCTAAAATGAAGAAATCTTGCATCCTTAGTTATCTTGCAGTTGATGGACTTGAATCATTTATGATTCTAAAACTGTGTCAATATAAATGAAATATAGTTATACTGGAATATATCAGAAAAATATAAACGCATATCCTGTGGGTCATTATTTAAATGTAACTGTGCTACCAATGACTGCACATTTTACATATGCAAATTCTGCTGCTAGCCACATTTCAGTGGGACTGATTAGACTGATTTTCTCAGTTGTGGTTGGATGACCCTATATGACTAACAACAGTAAGAACAACAAAGTCCAAATTGAATATTTGATTTTTATTTAATTTTAAGTTGTTAATTATTTGAATTATTTTGATAAAATGAAAATGAGAATGGTAAAATGTGTTGACTACCCAGAGGTATGAATTTCTGTGTCAATTCCATGTTGAACAGAATCAGAACTAATTCACAAAACATAGAGGTAATCGAATCCTCATGAGATGTTTAAGTGAAACATCTTTCAGTATTTAATCAAGGTTAATATCATTAAATACACCTAGGAGACTTTCATTACAATCATTTATGATCTAACATTAATTCTTTTATCCACATACCTCTACCTGGGATATAGGTCACTAAAGCTTTTCACAAGAAGAGAACAGAGTCTGGTGTATGGTGCTTTGTGCATCTGAAATTTTCAAATATGAAAGGCAAAATTTGAAATCTGTATAAGAACTGCACATAGGCTCATTCGTAAATAATAGATTTTCATCTTTACCTCTAACAGATAAAGAGAACAGGAAACAGTTGCCTGGAGGTTTCCAAACTGTTTCCTAGAGCTCTCCAGCATTTTTTTTGAGGATTATTTATTAAGACAAGCAATAAAGTGCTCCACTCTCAGAAGGAAGTCCATGAAACTTTTCAGAACCTCTCTGGGGAATGAGAACAGTGTCTGAGTAAGCAGACCTGTAAGCCCAAGAAGCTGCTATCAGAGCAAGTCTATTTTATTTGGTTTTTAAAATATTCCACCAATGCTTCTGTTTTTTCAAAAAGTTGTGCTAGTAAATAGATTAGAATGATGCCATTAGAATAATCTTAAACGTTTATGTATAAGTCAGTATGGTTTATAATAAGGTTAATGTCTACACTTTTGGTAGACATTAGGTGGCACTGCCACCAGCAACCAAAGTGTCTAAGATCTACCACCACGGTCCTCCTCACTTAGAGCCCAAGTCTTTCCCTACCCACCCACCCTAATTTCCACAACCTTCCAACACATTGCTTGATAATGGCAGATGTTTTCTTTGAGTGCTTTCATTTCCTATTTTTAAAAAAATCAGTTGGGATGGGAGATGAGTACCAAAAGTAGATAATGGACCAAATATGATGAGTTTTCAGTGTCTATATTGCAAACCATAACGCCCAAAAGTAAAGAGAAAGTATGGGGAATATTGTCTGCCATGGAGGCAGGGGGAGGATAGGGAAAGGGGGTGTACTGGGGAGATTGGTGGTGGGGAATGTGCACTAGTGGAGGGATGGGTGTTTGATCATTGTGTGTTTGAAACTCAAACATGAAAGCTTGTAACTATCTCACAGTGATTCAAAAAAATTAAAAACAAATTTAAAAAAATGTATTACTGTTACCCTTCTTTCTACGTGAATTTTATCTTCATAGTCTCATCAGCACAGCGGATAGGGCGTTCACCTTACACGCGGCCAACATGGCCGACCCGAGTTCGATTCCTCCGCCCCTCTCGGAGAGCCCGGCAAGCTACCGAGAGTATTCGATATGCCAGACACAGTAACAACAAAGTCTCCAATGGACACGGTACTGGGCCCACTCGAGCAAATCGACGATCAACGGGAGGGCCTTTACCTTTTTACCTTACCTTTATTAGTTCTTTGAGCAACTTCAAGCAATTAAATAATCTGTTGTATTAGCAAAAATAAAAGCATAAACTGACCTTGAAGTTTGATTAATTTTTCAAGTAACCATGAAGGCTTTCAGAATAAGGTTCTGAATTAACCTATGGAAAGCCAAAGGTGCAATTCAAATTCTATCAGTAAATGAGCATTATGGATAATGGATAATGAAGGTTAGGAATAACAAATGATCTACATTGTCAATTATTTGCAAGTGAATGTTGCCTCACCTCTGAATTTACATTCTAATAATCAATTGGAATGTGCATGGGGTCATGGTTAATTATAGCTTGTCAAAAACAAAGCCTCTCAATCTTCTCCACAGTATGACGCCACTTATGCCATTAAATTACAAGTACTAAAACCTAGGACCAATATATTAAAACAAAACCAACTTCTACCATCAAAAAACCAAAAGGCCCAGTCCCTAATGTAGTGAAACATTAAGAATGATTAAGACAAAAAACTAAGCATAATGTGTTCTATTATGTTTTTACATGGAAAATATTTTTAAATAGATTTAGTAATATCAGTAGCTTATTAAATGCCCTGTGGGAAACATTTCTGTGTTGTTTTTCTCTCCCTTTCTAGGTGGTACTTTACAAAGTAAAGGCTATTATCTTTATAGAAAAAAAGGAAGACATCAAATAAGAAATAAGGACAATAAAAATATTATAATTTTAATATGGGTTATGATGGCTTTGGTAAGCTGGAAAATTATCTGTAAACTAAAATTGAAGTTCATAAGCAAGAACTCATGTTCTTGCAGTCCTTCTGCCTATAGGGGTTTTTATTTGATTGTTTTACATTTTGATTTGCTTTGTTTTGGGGCCACACTCAGCTCTAATGAGGACTTACTTGTGACTCCGTGCTCAGGGACCACTTCTAACAATATTTGGGGGATCATATATAGTATCAAGGATTGAACCTGGGTTGACACAATGCAAAACAAGAACCCTGCTATTTGTGCTATTGCTCTGATCCAAGCCTACAGATGTTTAATCCATGTACAGTGTCCTTCTGTCCACTGAGCTCTTATGGTTCTTTACATAAAACATTCTTACATTATTTTATGACTTTGATTGATAGCAAAGCCTACTCAGATCAGGGCTGAGCATCCTCCACCCAGATCCTCCAAATTCCAGTAGGCGAGGTCCGGGGGGGGGGGGTCACACCCACAAACTGGCCCCCTGGTGCAGTGTAATCCCATCAATGGCCAAGACTCAGAGACTATAAAACCCAGCTCCCGGAAGCTTATTATCTCATTCTTACTTTGGACAAACTGGCAGGCTACCGAATATAACCTGCTCACAAGGCAGAGTCTGGCAAACTCCCCATAGTGTACCCAATATGCCAAATACCAGTAACAATGATGGGTCTCATTCTCCTAACCCTGAAAGAGCCTTGAATATGGCACTTTTTTAAAAAAAATCTCAGGGCTAGGATGAAGGAGATGTTACTGGGGCCTGCTCGAAGCAATCGACGAACAACAGGATGGACGTGATCGCGATCGTCATCAGTGGACTAAATGCACCTATCTCGAGGCACAGAATGGCAGGATAGATTAGAGAATTTAACCAACATTCTGCTGCCTGTAAGAAACTCATCTGAACAATCATAGCAAACACTGGCTCAAAGTCAAAGGCTAGAAAACAATTCTTCAAGAAAATTGTTAGGTCCCTAGGGACCCTGAGGGAGATTCCAGAGTTAAAACTCTATAAATTAGTAAATCTCCTTTTCCTGCCCCCTCCCTAGCAGAGCTTTAGAATGAAACTCTTCCCTGTTGGAACATAAAGTCGGGAACCATTTGTTGGGCCCTCCTTATCTGTTACCTCCCTTAGGAACTCTTCCCTTATCCACCTCCGGAATGCAGGCCTGAGAATCAAAGGAAGCCAGGTGATAACCAAATGTCCCAGTTACCCGATGCCCACTAGTCACAATGCCTATGTAAGTAAATGCTGATCTTTGAATCTATAGGCTAAGGAGTGATGTACTATTAAATGGATTGGTTAAGAAAGCATATGTTGTTACAAATCTATTGGCTATGAAATGTGCGGGCTTTGCTGTAACGGCCAGTGAAGGCCTATATAAGATCCCCTTTGAAGAAGTTCGGGGTCTTGCCTCACCTAACTGACCTGCGTGTCTGTGTAGGCGGCTTGACCCTGGCTAGCCAGTCTTACAATAAACCTTGCTTGCTGTTTGCAGTCTCTGGAGTCTCTTTGTCGTTAAAGGGAGATCACGATCCGCGCCCTAACAAAAATAGCCCCTTAAAAAGACTGGGGTAGCCATACTAATATCAGACCACATAGACTTCAGGCTGAATAAGGTTGTGAGAGACAGTGAAGGACATTTCTTAATGATCAAGCGATCAGTATATCTGGAAGAACTCACACTTCTAAATGTATATGCACCTGATCAGAGACCAGCAAAATACTTGAAACAGCTGCTCATATACATGAAGAAAGACATTGAGGGCAACACAATAGTAGTTGAAGACTTTAACAAGCTTCTGTCACCTCTTGATAGATCAAGCAGACTAAAGCTCAACAAGGAAATACTTTACTTGAAGGAAGAAATGGAAGAGAGGTTGGTAGTAGATTTATATAGGACCTTTCATCCCCAAAAGGATGAATACACGTTCTTCTTCAGTGCACATGAGACATTCTCCAAGTCAGACCATGAGCTGGGTCACAAAACATACCTCAGTAAAATCAAGAAGATAGAAATTGTATCTTTTTTCTTTTCTTTTATTCTCTGTTTTTCTTTTTCTGTTTTTTGTGGTTGTTGTTGTTTTTGGGTGTGTGTGTGTGTTTATGTGTGTGTGTGTGTGTGTGTTACACCTGGTAGTTTTCACTAACTACCTGTGGCCTTGTGCTCAGGTCTGTTCCCTAAAGGTGCTCAGGAAACCATATGTAGTATCTCTCTGGCTTCTTTTCTTTTCTTTTCTTTCCTTTTCTTTTCTTTTCTTTTCTTTCCTTTCCTTTCCTTTCCCTTTCCTTCCTTCCTTCCTTCCTTCCTTCCTTCCTTCCTTCCTTCCTTTCTTTCTTTTTTTCTTTCTTTCTTTCTTCCTTTTTGGGTGCTAGGAAGTAAGGGCAACTGAGGCTTAAGTAGAGAGAACAGATGCCCAGGGGGCGATATTATTTGGAGTCAATTAACTTCCACATTACAAAAGCATGTCTTTTTAACTGTCTTCCTGAGTCCCTATTAAAGGACATTACTCTGAATTAACTATGCTAAGGATCTTAAGGAGAAGAGAAAAACAATGTTTGTAAGTCAACAGAGTACAAATAAAATGGCTACAAATAAACACAGAGAAATGGGAGCACTGTGATGGGAGTAACCCAATAAACCTAAGCTCCCTGTGGCAAGGCAGAGTATTATCTTTCTCCCTGCCATTGAATATCTTTCCAAGCTTGATGATTTCAATACCCACACATCTGATCTCTGCACTTGACAACCTCGTACTCTTTCTCTTTAAGCTTTTCATCCTCTCTGTCACCATTCGCATAGATACAAATAGAATTTGCATTATGGTAGCACCTCCGAAATCTCATTTTCAGAATCATACACTTTCACGTTATCACCACCTCCTGTCATGTTTATCAGTAAGTAAATTTTTAAATAAAAAAACATTAAAAAGCAGGTTATATTCAGAGTGATCACCCTGGGTAACAACTGCGTGCTGAAAATAGGTAAAGGAATAAACATGATAATTTCTCAGTATTTACTGCAAACCATAATGCCTAAAAAGAAAGAGAGAGACAGAGACAGAGACAGAGACAGAGACAGAGACAGAGTGCCTGCCATAGAGCCAGCTGGGTGGGCGTAGGTGTGCTGGGAGGGAAACTGGGGACATTGGTAACAGAAAATGTACACTGGAAGGATGGGTGTTGGAACATTTTATGACCAAAGTCTGACCATGAACAGCTCTATATATGTATATCTCATGGTTGAATTAAAAAAATAAAGAGGTTCTTTATAGCCCCACTGTAGATGGGTATTTTCACGTCAAATGGGAAAAATCCCTAGGGCATAATATTTATGAAATATTATGAAAAGAAAACAATAATATTTATGAAATATTATGTATGAAAAGAAAAATATCAATAGATGATGACAAATGTATAGCATAAAATATTATAAAACTAGAAAACACATATACAAAGTTGTATCTTTTTCTGTTTATCATGTATGTAATTATATGTGTATTTAATCTATTTTTAAGCATAAAAATAATCTAAAAAGGTTCACAAAAGTATGATAGCAATCTGTAGCGAAATGAAGACTGCAGTGCAATAATCAGAAATAATAGCATTAAAACATAATATTTAAATTGCAAAATTATATATTTTTGCATTATTTCTATAATTAAAAATAAACCAAGATAAGCAGCTTAATTATATCCTATTTTCCCCATTTAAAACACCAATAAAACATTATTTAATGGTAATTTAATTTATAAACTAATTAGACAAGAACAGATATTCCCACGTATTAAATGATTCAACTGAGGACTTTGCGATTTCTCTCCATTTATTCATAGGTATCTTTATGTCTTTATGCAAAATTGTGTACTTTCATTATAAAAGCTGCATATGCCTCATAAGCTTATTCTTACATATTTTATAATCCTATTGTTATCTTTGAAATAAATTTTAATAACAAAGACAATGAGATCTTTTCCCCGTGGTATACTCTAAAAGATTATTATAGTAAATTTATTAATATAAAATTAGGGCTGTTCACATTTTAATTACACTTGTTTGAAGCTATGTGTCCAGAAAGAAAATCACAGCATTGGAGAACAATCATCTGTAACCTTTATATGACCTAGATTAACATCATTTTTAAAGATAGTTAAGAACATAGCTGACAGTTCTGATAATTGAGTGATTTTAATATCTATACAATACGTACACCTCTGCTCAGCTCATTCTAAGCACTACATAATTGTTAACTGTTGTGGCCATTGTTAATGTAAGCATGAACCATCCAGCTTATTGGGCCTTCTCTCAGTTCTATCTTTCTTACATCACATCTGGTATCAGTGTCTTAATGTTTCTAAGCTCCCTCCATTGTCATCAGGGTTAGTTCCACTTCTCTCCTATTCTATTATTCTGATCGCTTCAGTTGGCATTTGCAAGAGCCAGGTAATTGAACTGCAGGTGCAGAGTCTTGTTCAGTACCAGAAATGTCCTGTTTCTTTTTCATACCTAAGGACTGTCATCCACCTGTCCAAGGTCACCTTCATCATTATTATATGAAATACCTGTGCATTTATCTTTGTATCCTTAATTCCACTCCATTCCATTTTATGTAAAATACGTAAGGGGGCTTAATTTTTTTAGACGTTTTCTATTAAAAAGGGATTACATGCAAACACTATCAGAAGCATACTCAATGTAAAGATCCTAATTAACACCTAAGTGGAAATCTCTTACATGTCTAGCTTGTGCCAAGAGAAATCAATCAGTGGTTAGAGCAGGAAATTGGAAAGATCAGTCTAAAACCAAACTCTGTCATTGTCTCTACCTTTAATACCTCCTGACTCCACTTGTGACTTTGCCTTGCTAAAATTAAATTTTGGTAGCTACAAGCAATAAGTATTTAGTTCATCTCTATAAAAGCAAAAAGAGAGCAATTTATTATTGATACATTTGTTTTCCTCTTAACATTTATTTTCCTTCACTGGCATTGCTAATGAATTACTTTAAAGTGTGTTAGAAATCCCTTTTAGAGAATCACAGTCAGAATAGAATGAAGCACTTGCTGCATTAACAAACTTCGTTGAATAACTGCTTGAAGTCACTAGGAGGAAAATTTTATATATCATTTAGTTCCTCACTTATCATAATCAGAAGGTCAAATTTTTAAGAGATCAATGGCTTTAAAGTCCTATATCTGATTAAATAGATAAGAAAACTATGTTGTTTCCAAATATCTATATCTCTTCACGCCCATACAAAGGAAAATGAATTGCTCTAGACTTGAAATTACTTGACACTAAGTAAGAGTTTGCTTGGACTAGACACTAAAAGCGTATTTCCTCTAAAAAAATCTATTTCAAAATAACGTCATTTTGATTATAAAGTTTATAAAAGACAAAAACATTTCTAAGATTTTTTCCATTTTCATCTTCTTTTTCCCCTACTATTTTTTCACTCTATAAAAATCTTTTCCATTTCCAAGTATATTTTCTTATTTTATTACACTTGACCTTCATATCAACCTAGAATAAACAAGGCACTTAATAGCAAATCCTTTTATTTATGCATACTCATTATAACCTATTATCTTTCTGTATTATTCTGTTGATGGTTTGTTTAGTCAATTGTAATCAAATATTTTGGAGCTGACTTGAGTGAATCAGGTGACAGTTATAGATTCCAAGCCAAATACAACATCTTTTCCGAAGTTCCTAGACTATGGAACTCACCTAGACTCTGAACTCCATTTATAGCATATTTTAAGGGTCTACCTAGACAGATATTCTGGAATTAAAAAGCATTCTGAAAGGGGCTTCTCTGACAATGGAAAGACTATGGAAGTTAGTTGGATGAGTGAATAACTGAAATCCCTGCTCTCTCAACCTTGCTCAGGATTAAAGAGAATTACAGGTTTACTGTTCACTGAAGAGAAACAAATGCCCTATTACACAGAAGGGATTAGAGTCTGGAAGAGCATTTGTACCTTCAAACAAGGACTGAGAGACATGCAGCATTAAAAGCAGAGCTCTGCCTCTGAACTAGAGTAGCAAAACGAATGCTACACAGAATGAGTCATACTTCAGAAGCCCCGAGTAATATTGAAATTAAAATATTGATTTCATTAAGAATTTGAGGATTCTTATCCTAGGGTTTATCCTAGGTAAGAACCTCCCTGAATTTTATCAGTCCCTAATTTCTAGCAGTCTCAGAAAAATATACAAAAGAAAGAAAAAGGCAAACTTTTAAAATTGGAAATGAGCAAATTATACTTTTCCTGAAACACAGCACAGATGTGCAGTTTGGAAAATCCAATGTCCTTGCATTGGTTTGGTATATGTTTAAGAGTGTTTTGTGATTTCCATCTGCTATCTCTACTTCATAAGAAAAATTAACTTAGATATTCAGAAACACAAAAATGGAAGCTAAGATTATATTCAAGCTCTCTGACCTTATAGGTGTATGTTTGTGTGTCTGAGCGTTCACACAATTACAATTTGTCAGGAATAGCTAAACTGCCTTTAAAGCATGAGCTCAAAATTGGTTGCTAAAGAGATAAAACAGATAAAGAAAGGAAGTTAAAAACTGATATGTGAATAGAGCTCTTAAATATCAGTTATTTAGTTAATGGGATATTTGGAACACACATATATGAAGCCCAACATATACGTAAGGCACCAAGTTTTTTTTAAAAAGTGCAAGCATATTCTGCTGATGGTATTAAATTTCAGGAGAAACTTAGTGCATATGAAAATAATTTCTGGGCCACAGAGGTAGTAACATGGATAGGGTATTTGCCTACCATGCAGCCAATTTAGTTCAATCCTTGCATCCCATATGGTTCACCAAGCCCTGCTAAGAGTGATCTTGGAGTGCAGAGCC